CAGTATCCTTGGGATTCCAGTCAGTAAAGGAAACTGGGGAAAAAATGTGTTCAGAGATAAAGATTATAGCAATTATGTGAGGACAGCATTCCAGGAAGGGGATAATACCAAAGGGCCATATGTTCAGGAGAATGAAATCAGAAAATCTACTGGTGACTCTTTTCAAAAGACTTGTCTACACTTGTGATTTCCAAGTCTTCCTCTTCCCCTCTCTTAATGCCACTCCCATTGGGCTTTCATGTGACACTCCAACACTCCACAGGAGCTGTTCGTCAGGGTCATCAGGGGCCTCTAGGCACTGAAATCTAGTGGTCAGTTACAAGTCCTCTTCCTTCATGAAAAGCTTCCCTTCTTCATTTCTGTTGATAATAATGACATCCATCTAAGTGATAATGCCCCAAACCTCCTGAATACATTTCTCTCAAATCCCTAAGCCAGAGGGCTCTACTTCCAGAATATATCCAGAACAGCCAGTTCTCCTCTCCCCTACTACTAACACAGGGGTCCCAGCCATTATCATTTTCTGCCTGGATTCTTAACTGGCATCCCTATTTCTTCTCTCACACTTACACAGATCTGCCACAGGTGTCACACAGGAGCCGGAGACCTGTCACACTGTGGCTCTTCTTTGGGCTCAGCCCCACATCAGTCTGTGAAAAGTAAATACTTCACCACAATCTACAAGGCCCAATGTGATCAGCTCTTGACCCCATCACTCCCCTCCTGTTCCTTTACTCTGACCATTGTAAGCTCCTGGACATTTCTTAAACACACAGGCTATTCTTTGTACCAGAAAGCTCATTTCTCAGAAATCCACATGGCCAACTCCCTCACCTCCTGTAGGTGTCTGCTCAAGGAAGCCGACCATCGCCATTTCCTCTCCTTGCTTCTGAGTTTCCTTTTCATTCTGTACTGGCCATTTTCTAATACATTGTGTAATTTACCTATTTGCTATGTTTATTATCTCCTCCTCCCTGATAGAACATAAAGTTGGTGTGTTTCTTTGTATATATTAAGCATCTATAATGTTCAGCATATAGTAACATGGTACTAAATATCTACTGAATGAATGAAGGATTTCCAAATAAAAATTCTATAAAGTGCTAAACCTAATCTAATTTACATGGGTACAATAGCAAAGGCATGGGAAAAAAACAGAATCACAGAGGCAAAGAAATCTATGCTTATGAAACATACAGCCATGGGGCCAGGGAGACAGCTCAGTAGAAAAAGCATTTGCCTGGCAAATGCAGGGTCCTATGTTTAATTCCTGTTACTGAAAAAAAAAAAAAAAAACCAAAATCAGCTATTTTAAATACCTTCATTATTTTTTATTTTTAGAGACACATATGACCAAAACACAAACATTTTAAGCATCTTATTTGTAAGGACTACAATATCCTCAACTCTTGATATTAATCATCCATAAATAGCAATAAATATTTAATATACTAGTAGTTTCAGCATACCAGAGGATATGCAATTTGAAAGAAAAGAGCAAAAATTAGTAGTAAACTAAATAAAAGGATGTTCCATGGTCAAATAAAAGCTTCCAATTGAGAATACCAAATTTTTTAATTTTACAACCAGAAGCAACAAATAGAAAATGGTATAACTGAAAATATAATAAAATTATAAATAAAAGGTATAAAGATAGTAACAAATACTATAGATATACATGAATATTGTATGAGAACTGTTTTGCATTCTTGTAAGTATTTTTTTGGTAAATATGATTGTTGGCATTAATTCTGGCTTATTTCCATAAATTTTTTAAAGTTGTTTGACTTATTTCTTAAGCTTCTTAGGCAAACATAAAGCCGTTCATTTATACTTTTAACCTTGTAATGAATCTAAAGCTAATGCGCATTGGAATATGAAGAATGTTGTTTTTGTTTGTCTGGAACCCATGCTGCACACAAGTCACCAAAAATTCAAATAAATAAAAAATATAGTGTTCTCTAATTAAATTTTAAATTATCTTCTGAAATTGCTTTCAGAAATTGTAATCATTAAAATGGACAAATCTTCCGACTTCTCTGGTGAGCCTGAGCACAGAAATTTAGAACTTTTTCTCTGTACATGAAATATTAAGCCAACAATCTATCTTAACACAAACATATATGCATATTTGCAAACCATCATTAGGATAAATTTAGTAAGATTTTTTAAAAAACATAATTTATACAAGAATACAGACTAATATTAGTGTAACAAGTTTTGCCATGTAGGTTAACATGTAACTACATAAAATAATACTGTAAACTCTAAATTTTAGATACTAGTGAATTGAAAGACAGACTTCCTAGATTCTTTATATGAAGAACTTGGAGATACTACACACACTTCAGCAATAGATTTATCTTTCAGCTATTTGCTTAGTTAATAATAGTATATGCTTTAATTGCCTAAGGCATAATGACAGGACAGCAGCAGGAAGAACCCTGAAAATTCAAACAGCGGTGGGAAGGCTGGTTCAAGGATGATTACATGTGTGCACGACTGTGCTGACCCCCCCCACACACACTTATGAACATCACTATTATAAACAAAGACTATCAGTACAGCCTCACAAACAAAGGATGCCCAACTCGGCTGCAGTCTGCTACTTACAAAACTGGCTTCAAAAAGAGAAAGGCACACCCAAAACATATTATGCTGATTATATGTCTCTATGAAAATGGGAAATTAGGAAACAAATAATTCCAGAAAACAGAAATTTTTGCAGTAAGTGAACAAAGCAAATTAATTTGACATAATTTCAAGAGCAAGAGTCATGTTTATTTCAATGGTTTAACTGCAATGGTTTAATGAGTTGGTAGAGACAGTCAAAGTTTTCTATCGATTCTTTTTTACTTAATGAAGGATCACATCATTGGAATGTTATAAGATGATTTTTGATATTATATTATAGCCATTATATATTTTAATTTAAAAATGCCTAAAATGTTTAAAGCCAGAAAAATGTTCACTAGGTGAAAAGTTATATGTGTGTGGTTATTGTTTGTTTGTTTTTTTCTAGATGGTAGTTTATTTACAATATGGACCAGAAGGCTTATTTATTCTGGACATCTGTCTGTCTGTCTGTCTGTCTGTCTGTCTGTCTGTCTGTCTGTCTAGGGCAGCAACTGGACTGCCACCTGTAGGGCTCAGGCCCTGCTCATCTTGTCTGTTTGAGCAATGGACACAGGACTTAGCTCACTGTCTGACGCTTAGTAGAATAAATCCTGCTGAACATAGAAATCTCTACCACAATAAAGGCTCTCATTATGTTGTCCTATTACTGTGCATGTAAGAACAAAAGTGAAATTTAGTGAGCCAATGGAGATAGACATCACAAAAAATGTAATATACACACATTCTTTTATCTTTGAAAACGTACAACCATTGTTACTCTCCTATTATCCATTTTGAAATTTTGTGTTTCTCTTTAAAATTAAAAAAGCAAAAAAAAAACCCTATACTATATCGTATATTTGAGAGATACACTGAAGTATTTATGAATGAAATTATAAGATCTCTTGAATTTGCTTTGAAATATTACAGAAAATGTGTAAGTGGTAGATAAAGGTAATAGGCATTAGTTTTTCACCTATACTTTTAAGTAGTTTGAAAATTTTGACAATACTGACTTCAAATAAGTTTCATCAATAAAAATAGAAAGGATAAATTATTTTTCAACTATCAAAACCACTATATAAGATGACTGAATACTCTGCAAAGACTCATATAAGCCTATTTACATGACTGTTACAATAGTGAAGTCAGCAGCAACTGAAATTTCAGTCAAGAAGGAATTAAATACAGTATGTCACACACAATGCACTACTGTGCAAACGTTCAGAAGACTTGCAAATGAGTAAGGATGTTCCATGGCAGCAGGCAGAGCTGGACTCATTCGTTCATCCACAGGCATGACCACAAGACACACCTAGAAAGCAGAGCGTTCATCTTTGTTCACGGTGGTCATCTCTGCCGAGAAGAATTACAAGGAGTTTCTATTTTTCCATGAAACTGCTCTGTGTTATTCAACTTTTCATAATAGTATTTATTCATTTTATAATTAAGAGAAACTATTTTCTGTAATAATAACCTATAATTTTTCATGGCCTTATTCTTTCTAGCTCACAGAATGATTCAGTTGAAAAGTTAAAAACTATCAGGTCTTGTGCACCTCAAAGTGAGAAAGTGCTATGCTTTCAAAACAACATGAAACCTGGAATACATTTCATCTATTTCTAAAAAAGCAAGTAACAAATTTTAAAGCACATTTTTCCTGAACTACCTACAGAGTACAATGAAATGTAAAATATCAAAAAGTACATAAAACTCATCATAATATATTTAGGAATAGACTTAAGTACTTTCTAGTTAACTCAAATCAGGCTGAAAAGTCTATTAGTTATAGGAAAAAACAGCATTTGGAAGACAAAGGAAGAAAGTGTTTTCTAGTTGGTTCTTAAAAGAATTTGAAAGTATCCCTATACTTCTATGCAAAAAGGGGATATTTTAGCAATATGTTTGTTCTGAGAATTGAACAGATGGTAACATGGAAAAAATGTAATTTCCAGATGCATAATTCTGTAGCTTCAGTGACATGGACTTGACATCAATTAAATTTCAAGTTTACATCTAACCAGCACTACAGCACCTTGAGTGTAAGCTCTAATTTAAAGATTAACCCTGAAGGTTCACTGAGGTTTTATGATCTACCTTTTCAGGAAGGCTGCTGCTGCTGTGCCTGCTGCCTAGTCTGCAAAGTACCTACAACAGAACAGGAAGGGCCCTTGGGACTCCTCTCAACCCCTATGTATCCCTCTTTGAGACATTTTATTATACACAGCAGTTGATTTTTAAAGGTATCAGCTAATTTAAAAGTAGGTCCTTTTTACCAAGGGACTAAATATCCCCAAGTGTGGCAATTTCAGTTTAAACAATGTAAAGAAAAACAAATAAAAATGTATCATTTAAGTTACCTGGTGGATATTCTTGTTTTTCACATCCATGTTCTAAGCTTTAGAAATGGTGCTAAATTTCTTAGCTTTTGACTTATCCAAGTCATGTATCTATATCAGGTTGGAGAAAAGTATTTTGTTACAAATCAGCTATACAAATGTGGCTATGCTCCAGTAGATATTACTTCTTTAATTATTATGGTTCTAGATTATCTGTGGCAAATCATTTAAGTCCTCACTTACGGAGTCTTAAAGGTCTGGCTAGCATATCATGAATATCCCCAGATTTAAAGGAAAATTATTTTACCTGTATCCTAGAACTGGACTGTCCATAATGCATAGTATTAGAAGGATGCTTTGAAGTTTTTGAAGACTCAGGACATGATTTTCTTTTAGACCTGTGGGCTGTTCTGCTTGCTATCAACTTGTAGTCACTTAAGTCAACTTCTTTAGTTTGGTTTGCCCACTGTTGTGGCAGTTGCAGGTCTTCAGTTTCTGTGTCTGATTCAAAAATGTGTGGCTGCCTCTTGGGTTTCACTGACTCATAATCTTTCTTTAAAATCTGTGTTATACATTTACTTGTTAGGTTTTCTTTTCCATAGATGTCCACAGCATTTTTTATTACACTTACACTGCTACTTGATACCTGATGCACCATACTGTTAGACAGTTGTTTACTTTCACTTAAGCTCACAATTGATTTTCCATTAGAAGAGGGATATTTTGTCATATTTTCACAGCATTCAGTATTTTTCTCTTGCACAGGTCTGCAGTTTTGATTTAAATTTCTAGCATGTATTTGAATGTTACTGTGAGGTCTTCTTTTAATATTTGGTCCTAAATTAAGCTTTTCATCCTGGATTGTACTAGTTTTATGTGCAAACAATTTAGATTCTGTTACAACATGCTGTTTTCTTTTCTGGTTGCCAAGTATGGAAATATTTTTGTTCATCGGTGACAATCTATTTTTGAAAACTGGTATGAATTTAGGGGTGATATTACTTTGGAAGCTAAGATTAGTGTGTTGAACTTGAGTATTTCCTCTGTTGGGCTTTGATTTTTCCAAATGCAGTTGCGGTTCCTTGTGAGACAGGAATTGCTTTGTACTTTGAATGGACTCTGGCTGGTGGTGTAGAGCTGACAGAACGGGTGGCTGGGGCTGGCTGACGGAATGCTCCACCTTGTGGTCTGCTACTACAGAGCATGGGCCAAGACTTGGAACCAAAGCAGGTTTTCTGAAACTAGCTTGAGTCACAGAAGCCCTGAACAGTTTTTTAGTGGTCAAATTGGGTGCCTTGACTTTGTTTCCCTGCAAGGATAGAGATTAGGGATGTTTTCAAATATAACAATACCATTGAAAAGAAATAAAATATCAAAATAACAATAGAAAAATGGGATGTGGTAGAAAAATGGGATGCAGGCATTCTATAATGCCAGCACTAGGGATACTGAATGAAGCAGGGTCTGAAGTGAGCCTGGGCAACATTGAGTTCAAGGCCCATATAGGTACACAGTGAGATCCCACCCACTCCCCAGAACAGAAAGAACATTATGATTTATGGAACAGGTGAACAAGAAATAAAAATGAGTCTCTTGATATAATATGTACAATTTCTGATGGTTTGTATCCATCCTTTCAAGATAAAATTTAAAGATGTAGGTATATTCTAGTTTCTATATAAATCACCTATAAGAGTTACACATACAGCTAGATAGTGTCCTGAAATGTGTTTTGCAGCCATCTTGTTCAGAATGCTTTCCTCTGGGGTCGGGGAGATGGCTCAGTGGACTAAGCACTTCCCTAGCAAGTGCAAGGGTCTGAGTTCAATCCCTGGTTCCGAAAAAAAAAAAAAAAAAAAAAAAGAATGCTTTCCTCTTTACCCATTGCTTCAACCAAGATGGGGCTTTCTCTAAATTTTTAAAGTCCCACTTCCTCTGAATCACTCTACCAGTCAACCATAAAGTGACTATTTTTTCTCAACTCTCTAAAGATTGATGACCAGTTAGTAATTATTGTCACAAGAATAATTCAAGATAGTGGTTTTATGTTTTAATGATGTTTTATACCCACCCATATGTGAAAGGTTGTTGGAGGATAATAACTATGAATTATTTTCTCTGTCTGTCTGTCTGTGTTTATTCTTACATCCCTTATATTTACTCACATATAGTTGTGGAAAAAACAATAATTGAAGAAGTCATTGTGTCTATACTAGGCCTTTAAAAATAAGTGATTTTTTTTTTTTTTTTTTTTTACTACAGGTAAGAGTAGTCTATGTCTTTCTCATGTTTGCACTGTGGTTTCTGTTACAGCTCCTGCTATCTTTCAACAATTCAGCAATTATGTGTCAAACTGACTGGTCAGATGCATAAAGAAAAGGTATTTTTAAAAAATGTATTCAGTACAGGGTCTACAAGGTATTATTACAAAGATCGGACTTGTAGTAATCCTTCATTTTTCAGCCTCCCAAACACTGGGATTACAGGTGCACGCCACCACACCCAGTCTCAATCTGTCTCAGTGTGCCCCAGGGGTGGGGCTGACACGGTGGAAAAAGGATTTTTTAAAATTGTGGCTATACATATATCTCATAAAATTTACCATATTAAGTACATAATTCAGTGGCTTTAAGTAAAATCACTGCTGAATTTGTGTTACATGACCATTATCACTATTTTCAACCTTTTTTCTTCATCTCAAACACTCAGTACTTTATTTAAAAAAAAAACCAAGTTCCCGCTTCCTCCTAGCCCCTGATAACCTCTACTCTACTTTCTATCTCTATGAATCTCCCCATTCTGAATACTTCATGTGGAATCATACAATATTTTGTTGCTGGGCTTATTCTGTTTAGCATGTTTTTAAGGTTCATCCATGTTGTATCATGTATCAGAACTTCATTCCCTATGGTTAAAGATTCCACTGTAGATATATATGACACTGTTTATCCATTCATCTGTTGATTGAAAGTATTTATAGTTTCTTAAAATACTTACCTACCCAGTTTTAATGTCTACAAAAGAGGAGCATTTGGCTATAATTTAAAAAACTGCTTTTGTCTCGGCTGCCGACATGCCCTCCAGACTAAGGAAGACCCGGAAGCTTCGGGGCCATGTGAGCCACGGCCATGG